AAGGTATTGCTGATATGGCTGATTGGCTGTTTAGATGGAAAAAATTGGTACGCTCACCACCACCCCTCTTACTAGAAAAAAAATAAATGGCCAAGTAAAACAGTAAACTGCTGAATTCTGATTGGGTGAAAAATATAGCTTGAACCAACGAACAACCTCATTCCTAAACTGATTATGGGGAAAAGATCGTTTACTTGTTACGTTTTTTCATGAAAATTTGGCAATTGTTTCTGTAGTTGGATCACTCAGCGCTATTGGCAAAGCAACCTGATAATTTTTATTTTTGCCTCAATCTGTTTATCTATCAGCATCGATGAAATTTTTTTTCAATTTCTTTTTTTTTGCCAGGTTTTTGCAATTTTTGAACTGGCTCTTCTGGTAGGGAAAATTTTTACATACATCTGAAAACTATTGATGCCTCCTGAACAACATTTAAAAATTATTATCAACCAGCGATCACACTTGTAAAATTGTGTATTTTTAAAAATGCCAAATTGGTCCATTTTGGACATTACCCGTGCGACATATTTAGAGCAGTTTTCGTTCCAAATTGAGGCGCGTTTTGATCCTAACAATACGTCACTAAAAATTAATTAAGGGTGGGCCGTTACTTCAACACTTTTGTACATTATATAGCGTGTGGGGAATTTTTTTTTAATCCTGCAAAAAGTTATTTGATAAGCTTATTAGTAAGCCATGAAGGGCAGTCAAAACAATCAAGAATTTTTTGTTCCGACTTCTAAAGAAAATGGGAAAATTTTTTTATTGGATTGATTTTTTTATCAGCCAAAATTCGGTGATTGAATCAAAACTTTTAAGAAAAAACTTACATACCCCATTGCAGATATCGACTCCGTGAACTCAAATATAAACAGAGTTTTTTTGTAAAATATTGGGGATTGAAAAGTTGCCAGCCATTTTGGCCATGCTTTGGAATAGCCTACATGTTCTTTGAAGACTTGTTATGCCGGCATCTAAGAAAAGTGAAAAGAAATTTAATTGAAATGGATCTCTGTAGTCTAAAATTTTATCAAAAAAATCAAATCCCCTGTGACTATCAGACCACAAAAGGGAATAAAGACTTGATTTTTATCCATTGTTTTATCAAATTTAAAGTTAATTATAATCCATTTAAATTCAATTAGAATGAATTTTTTCTACTTTATTTTTGTTTGGTGTCGTTCAAACTTCAGCAAAAACTTCTGCAACGATTTCTGCAAAAACATGATCTGCAAAAGCAGATTTTTCAAAAGATCTGCAGATTTTTCAAAAGTTCTGCAAAAGCATTTTTCGTATGAATAATGCGGAATTATGCAAAACGGGTCTACAGCTTACTCTATTTTTAAACCTCAGATTTTTCAAAATGCAAACGTTTGCCCTTTTCCCTCCCCATTTGTCCTTTGTCTTTTCCCACCGCCACTCCCCCCCCCCCCCCCATCACCAGAACCAATCCCCAAAACACCAAAAAATACAGGTCGAAGTTCCATTTTTCAGAAACTGCATTTTTCAGCGCGCTGTTTCTCAGGGTAATTAGATACATACAACTCTTGTTTAAGTAAATTGAGAAAATGTTTCAAATGAGCAATTTTTTGCGCATCTCAAAAAAACGAAAAAAAAAAATCAATATAATGAAGTTGCATTGTCTTTATCTGTAAAAGTGAAAATTGATCGATTATAATTGATTTGCAAAGTTTTTTTTTGATAAAAATAACCATAAAGTCCGTTTTTAATTGATCATAGTTGATTATTTTTCTCTTATAGATATAGACAATAAAAGTCAGATTTAATCATTATTTTTTCGTAGAGCTCCAGTGCAGTTGATGCTGAAAACGCAACTCAAGAAGTTTTTGCGTCGCAATTTAACCCGTACTAGGCAACCGTTCAAAAGTAAATGGCGGCTAAGCGGTCATAACAATTCAGTACGAATCCAATTTTCACACTTGATGTTAGATATAGTCCAGATTTTATGGTTTTTTAATTTGTCCTTGATTAAAACTATTCGATACTGACGGCAGCCGGAGGAGCTTTGCCAGGATATATTAGTATTCTTGTTAGTTCTTTCTCCCTGATCTGAGTGAGGAGAAATTGATTTGAACGAAAGTGATGGCCTTGATTACATAGTCTTCAAGGTGGCGGCCAGTCATTAAGCAGAATTCGTCTAAAAGCAAAATGAGTCCAAGAGCAGAAAAAAAGGAAAAATAACAACTTCTATAAGCTAATCGGTAAAATAATCATCAGAAATGTCAATAATAGCAAAGCAACGAACATTTTATGCATAATTTGAGCAATTTAATCAAGAATTTTAAAAAAATTAATCAAAAAACCTAATGAAATTAGTCAATTCATGCGTAATTTATTCGTTTTCTTGGTATTTTTTGACGATTATAATAATTGTTTTATCAATTAGCCCTTATAAGCCAATATAAGTCAATATTTATCTGTTTTTCTGCTCTTGGACCCATTCTGCACTTGGACCATTCTACTTATTGCTCCGCCTCCCTTCAAGGTTTCTTCTCATACATATATGTACTATATTTTTTTCAGATAGTCGCTGCCAAATGACAATCAATTTTTGTCTTCGAAATTTTTAAGCAGACATTCTGATTGATTTTCATTAAGCAAAAGTTTTTTTATAAAACCCAAAATTAAAAACATACAATTGGCAGTTCATACATGTCTGTACTAAGCTTCAGGATAGCAATTCTTGCTTCCAATAAGAGCTATCTGTCCATTTTAAAAATGTTCCATCTGTAATCTGGGCCAAATTTTGCAGCACCATAAATCAAACTTTAGTTAAACTTAAGCACTTTGATTCAGTAAAAATATTTATCTTAAAAAATGCTTTTATTTTTGCCTTCAAGTATAAATAGTTTAAGTTTCGCAAACTTGGCTTCAAAACATTTTTGTGAAACTTCCTGATGAAATTGAAAGTCGTTCAAGATGCTGATAACAGAATTCTATGCGAGAGCGTGGGGATGAACAAAAACATTAGCATACAAAATAGGGTTTTTGCCAGCTTTATTTACAAGTTATCGCGTGCTTTTGTAACTAAATTTTCAGCTCTGTAGCAGCAATCCATATCGTGATTCTGAAAAAATCGGACAAAAATTTTGGCATCGAAATTTAGTGGCAGATGCATGAAATTTATTCGTTTTTGCTATTTTTTGTTCCAATTTTTGAAAGAAACGGAATATTTATGCTTGGGGTGGTTTTTTATCCAAACATTTTTCGGCGATCGAAGTAAAAATTTTTAACAGTAAATCTTTAAGCGCCTTGGCGACTCCTAATCGAAATATTAATGTTTGGCGAATAATCCCGCACAACAAAATCATTGTTAATAATGTCGTACGACTAATATTTTCACACTCGATCTTCGACATTGTTCAAAATTAATAGTTTCTCATATATTCTCTTTTATCTAAAACTATTTGAGACCAATTGAAGGGCAGTCAAAACATTCGGGTTTTGCCCTGATATACGAGCATTCTTACGTTAGTTCAAACTGAATGAAAGCTATGTCATTTTTTTTGTTGTGCTCATTTACTACCAAATTTCTGATATAGCAGAATAAGATCGATGACCGAAATGTTTTGGATAGTATTAGTATTATGAAATCTGATCGGCTTATGTGTAATGGAACACCTCTCAAATTTTCATGCTATTGTTCCGTTTTTCGATACGAAAGTAACGGAATATTTGTGCTCGGGGTGGGTTTTTTTTTCTTCAGACAAATTTTGACTTTTTAACTAGCCATTTTTGACAGAATTTTTTTTTATCATTCAAAAGGTATTGTTGTTCTAAGCTTAAATTTGAAAAGATATTTCACCTGTGATGATTTTTCGTACAGTTATGGGGGTTTAAAGATTGCCATTTTGACCAATTTGGGACAATTAACGCGCGATATATTTCGGGCTATTAACGCGTAAGCGGAGATTTAATGCGTCTTAGAAATCGTTCCAAATTGGTTGAACGAAACGTATTTGCCATAATTGATTTGTTAAAATGAGCGAAATTTTTTTTTGTACTTTATATGGCGTGTCGGGGGATGATTTCATAAAAAAAATTCAAATTTTAGAATTTTTTTTTTCATTTCTATTTTATTAAATTTATTTTTTGATGTTATTACTGCCCCATAATGCTTAAAAGGCAGTCGGAACATTCAGGGCTTCGCCCTGATACGAGCAGTCTTGTTTATCTTTATGCTAAAATTACGGTCCCCGGAAGTGTGCATACAAAATTCGCCATGATAAAAAACTTACCAAAATTGAGAGTAGTACGAGGCTCAGAATAACTTTATTCATTTTCAACGGCTAGAATCTACAAGTAATCGGTTTCTAATAGTGTTTATTATATAGGTATTTGTTGGTGATAGTATTTTATGACAGCAAAACCAGGTTAAAAGCAATAAGAGTCGGAGATGAATATTTTAAAAGGGTAATTTGTCAGAGAACAATAACAGAAAAAAATCGGTCTAACCCCTTTTTTACCACTATTTTGAGACCAATTCGGGGGCAACAAAAGACAACCCGATTATAAATGGCAATAATTGGAAGGAAAATGGTAATAAGTTATGGGTCATTAAATTTTCAATAAAATAGTGATAAAATGGAAAACTCAATAGGTTGAAGCCCCACAAAATCACTCGGATATAAAACCTTTTCAAAGTTTTGTGCCTTTTTTCTCGTGGTTACCCCCTTAATCGACTATTTTAATAATACTTTATAGTAATAAATGTTTTTGTTTCATTCAGAAAATTCCCGCTATCCCCAATCTCCTATTTGTTATTTTAAATGTTACCAATAGAGCGTTTCTTAATTAAAGCTTTTTCTATTTTTTTTTTGGAAAAGCTAATGATTGTCATTAACACTAAATTTGTTAGTGTGCGGCCTTACTAACGTTGAAAAGGCAACATTTTTTGTCAGAAAACAGCAATTTTGGCGACACTTAATTATTTGTTTTTAAATAGTTGATTTATACCATAATTTAACGAGAGCGGGTTTATGGAGAAGAAACAAACGCAACAAAAGCAAAAAAACTCCTCTACCCCACCCTCTTGTTTTTTCAATTGCCCAGCGAAGATTTTAATAGCGACACACAGTCATTCACCAGCCCCTCCTTCCCCGGATTCGACCTCCTCGCCACTTTTGGGTTCTATGACTTTTGGTCGACAAACCCTTTATTTTTTCGAGCTGCTTTTGCCAATATGCTTGTTTTGAACTTCCCTCCCCCTTTGGTACTTTTTAAGACATCAATTTTCGGCTGAACGACCCTAATTTTTTTTCTAGAATATGCTTAATTTGAAGGGAGAAAGCTCCCCTTCCCCCTCGAGGAAATCCTAGGTTCGCTCCTGCTTCTAATGCAAGTTCACGAAAGATTAGAAAAAAAACAGAAATTGAAGTCTATCTTTTTGGAACAAACTGAGCGCATATTGGTTTCAGGCAAAGAACTTACGAAGACAAAGTGTGCTATCACGACTACGAATGTCGCAACTTCACCGCCGAGGCAGAGTTGGAAAAACTGAGGAACATCTACGTGAACATGACTAGCGATGTGAACTCGACACTAATCGCTGAGCTGAAGATCTACGAATGTTGTGATGCAAATGCGACTTACGCAACTGGCGACTACTCTTCAGGCTATGACGACGAAGATTATGAGGATGACGTAAGATTTGAAACACTCCTGAGATACTTTTTAAAAGCTTTTGAGTAACTTTTGCAAAAGATTTTGAGTAATTTTCCTCAATTTTCAACGTGAACTATAAATAAACTTCTGAAGGCGCCTTCGACGCCAATATAACTACATTTGAGGGGGAAGCGCGCGCCAAAAAACGCATTTTCTTAATCAAATAGTTTTTGAAAATGCTAAAAACGCCATTCTTAGCTTGTTTTTCAAAAAAAAATAATGCATGCCGCTCAAAAAATTGTTGATAGAATAATTGTTTCGGAGAGTTCGAAGAAACAAATTGGTCGACCTAAAAAAAGTTTTCAAACTTATTTCGAAAAACCGGTTTTCCATAGAAAATTTCTGCGCACGCCAATGGCAGAGTTGAAACTATGTGAAAAAACACCAAGCATATCTGGCATGAATCTATATGTCATACCTTATGGTATGCGTAGATCTTCAATACCAAATCCGAGCGGAATTGGCAAATACGACGACTGAGGTTACGTGTAAAAAAGACAACTGTTTGATAAAACCATTTATTTCTTGCTCTGCCGATCACTCGGTGTGGCTATGGAGATAGTTTTCAAAAGATACAAGGCCATTCGATCAGTATAGATCACTATATGTATATTCAAATATAACCACTGTTATGGTTTTGCCATTCCGGCCGGATAACACTCCCCCTGGAAGTCAAAAATAAACTTGAGTTTTTGAGTCCAAGTAGACTTAAGTTGAATTGCGAGTTTATTGAGTCCCTTCATATTTTATTGATTTATTGAGTCCCGAGTTTATTTCGTCTTTCGTTGTCTTCTTGTTTTTTGATCGATACCAAGAAAAACCTCTCTAATATCTGATATCATTCTGCTTGAACTGAAAGTCGGGGACACCAAATCCAATATTTCCATGCTTTTGTTTTTAGGTTTGGGTTTTATTGTTTTTGAAAATTTCACACATGCTTGATATTCTGGCAATTTTTCATGGAAACCCATCTCGTGGGTTAAACTTTTTATTTTCGAGTTGTTCCCCTCCCTTTATTTGTTGGTCGGTGACTCGATAGAAAATTGTTTCTTTTTGGGTTCCGTTGGCATTTGCTTAGCTTCGTTAATTGCACTTATTGGTACTGGAGTTCCCAACGCTCCCGCCAACGCCGATTGTCGGTTCTTAGTAGATTTCTTGGTTACTTCTGCCGATATTCGTGGTAATTGGGGATGCGTCTTCTTTTGATTCAGTCTGCTCGGAGATGGGGCCGTGTTCTCGAATGTAGAGGACCAAGCCTCACTTGATGACGTTTGTTGCTCTGGCGTCTCAATGTCCCTGTTTGTTGGGGTGCTGATCTCTTTTTGTAGTTCTGATCGAATTGCATTACTCTTGTTGGGTTTATCTGCGCTAGATTTCCTCCTGACTTCTGTCCTGTTTGCTTCGCGTTTTTTTTTCTTTGGCTATCTTGTGACTGTTACTGTTTATCTTTTCTTGACATCTTCCTTTTTTTGAACATGGGATGTTGTGGCGCGTTTGGTTTTTCAATGTCCAAAACAATTGTAAACCTAGTCCTGTTCTCTGCGCGGATCTACATGCAACGTACTTGCTTAGTCGTGAGGGTATGCAAGATCCATAAATCAACAGATTGGGGACAAATGCGAATCCGCCATTTCTTGGTATTCTCGGTGGCTTACCCAATGTCTGCACCCAAGCTGTGTGTGTGGTGTGTAAATTAAGATTTTCCCGTTCGTAGTTTTTGTATTTTTGTTCGATGTTTCTGGGTCTTTTTTTTGTAGCTACTCTTATTTTTCTCGTTGCCACTTCATCTGTCCGTTTTTTGGTGTTTGCATCTACCTGGTGTTGTATCAACTTGTATCTTAGATATAACTTTTCTCGCTCTTTAAATAATGTCTGCCTAGTTTTCACACGTGTTTCCTGTTGGGCTGCTTGTGCTGGTTTTATAGTTTCCTTGTTCAAAGGTTCTGGTAGGAGGTCTGATGGCCGCCGTTTTTAACCACTTTGTCTTCAGGCGTGTTTTGCATCGTCCCAGTTTAGGTTATTTGCTGAGCTTGTTGTTATACTTGATTATAGTGTGCTTGGTTTTGTCCTATGTGTGCTTCGAATGGCGAGATTTTCAGCCACTGGAGTGATTCAAAATGTTTTGATTATTTCAGCTTTGTCTGATGCTATTTTATAAGGTAAGTTATTTTTGTCTATTCTCATAACTCTTAGCTTGCGTTTTAATGCTTGTATCATTCGTCTGACCACACCTATCAAGTTGTGATTGTTTGCAGATGCAAATAATTATTTGATGTTGCTTGATCCACAAAAAAAAACAGAACTTTTGACTCTGATTGCATCTGAATTTTGCGAGACGCCATTGATTGATTTATATCTTTGCATAAATCTTGTGGCTGCTCTGGTGTTAAATACCACTTTAGCTGTCGGAAATTCGACCAGTAATCTATGTCTACGAGTATATACGCTTCGCGGTTTAGTTCGTTGGGTAGAAGTCCTGCGAAATCTAGTTGAACCTCTTCATTCGGCTCGACTGTTGATTCGATTTGGAGTGAATGAATTTTCCCTAAAAATGGTCTTAAATTTTCACCTCGTTCAGTACATTGTCGGCAGTTTCGTGACATCTGGACAATTGATCTGTGTATGTGCGTAAACCAAATGGGTTCGCAGAGGTCGAGCATAGCGGCGGATCTTGGGTCCATGAGATGGATGCTTTCCAATAATGTCTGTCTTAGTTGAATTGAGAAGGAATGGTGTCACAATGCTGCTCGTGATCATTTTGTGGCTTGCCTCTAGTTTTTGTTGTGTACTACCTGTCATTGATGGTGCAGTTTCGTTTGGCTTGTCGGTTGATCCTAAAACCATTTTTGGATTTTGACTCTTCCTGTTGCATTTCCTCAGATAAGATTGAAATTGCAGTGTTCTCTGGATTTTGGATCCAGCGGAATTTGCGAGTAATCATATCGTAATCGATATTTGAGAAAACATTTTGACTTTTTTCCTTTGATTTTACTATCTGCGCTGTATTGTCCAGAAACAGTTCTGTATTGGGCAATTGATATTTGTTTTTGTGTATGATATTGTTAAATTTCTGGAAATCCAATGCCAATTTGGCAATTTGATCCTATTTATGGTTATTATTATGGGACTAATTAATTGGTTGTCTGTGCACTTGTTTAATTCAGTGATCTGCTTTTGTTTGATCAATTTTTACAGCTCTTTCTCGGCTCTTTCTTTCAAATGTATCGGACTTCTTCTTCCTTTTTCTTGGATCGGGACAACATTTTCGATCAATTGGGTTTTTATCAGATAGTTTTCGACTTTACCACTTCTCAAACACAATTGTTTGCAATTGTTTTTTATTCACTGTTTGATCTCTGGGTCTGAAATTTTGTTCTCATAAAGGCTGCCTATCTGCTCCTTTTTTGGTTTTACTTGTACCAGTTTAATGTCCTCCGATGATTTTCTCCTTTTGATCGTCTACGATGATGAACGGTGCTAATTGAACTGTTCATCATCCGAGTTCTAGTGCAATAATAATTCGTCCTTTCGGAAACATAAATTTTCCAAAATAAAATGCGAAAACTCGAGCAGCGTCCTCCGATGGGATGTAGTTGAAAGTCGTCGATTCATCGTTTGTCCTCAATTGTTGTGCAGACTTTTTCCTTGGAACATATCAGACTGCCGGAATTTGGCATTCATGTTCTCAGATGTCGTTTTCATTTTACTATGTGCTCGTTTAAGTCTTTTTTGGTTATTTTTGGTGTGTCTCTGACTTTAAACGCTTCTGCTATGGCCATAACTGTGATGTTGTCTAGTGGGATATCTTCCCATCCGTTTGTTGACATGATTTCAGCGAACGCCACTGGGTTACCTCTTCTACCTTTGTGATGTCTTCTTAGTTTTGTAGTTGTCATTCATTTCCTCCCACTCGCATGAAGTTAACTTTTGTAGATTAGCAAACTTTTGCAAAATCTCCCCTCTTTGCACTTCTAGAACAGATCTTATCTTTCGCGGCGCATGATTATAAAGGGTTCCGACCGAATTGTCTTCAGCATTTGTAATATTTCTTGTATTGTCCCACGTGATTTGTATTCTGTTCTCTTCTATTTTTCAATTTTCCTCGTGTGAAGTTCTATCGTCCTCATGAGGTCGGCCCCTTTGGTTAGTTTGTTAGTTTGCCTGTTTTTCCTTTCTCGAGGTTGTGTGTATCCCATAAATTCTAATTTTGTTGGTGTAGAAGTTGATGGACCGAAAAGATTTTTTTTGTTGCTCTACCGTGTTTGGTTCCCTTTTCTCGACAAGTTGCATATTCGTACGCATCTTGTGCAGATCGATCTCTGCTAATAGTTCTTTGGCTGTCTTTTTGTGGTTTATTTAGGCGGTAAACCTATCTTGTACGCATTCCTCTTCTGAATTTCCGCAGTCGGCCCTTTACGCCAATTTCACTAAATCTGTATGAAATTGTTGAAGTGGTTCATTTTTTCCCTGTTTTCGACAAATTAAGGCGTTCAAATGCAATTTTTTGTTCTGTTATGAAAAAGCTTCCACTATTGTTACTATTTGTCTCGTTTTCGTAGATTGTAGGGCCACGCCCGGTCTTTTTTCACTCTAGTTGTCTCTGGCCTTCAGCACCCAAACATAAGAATATGTAACTTTTGACTTTTGCCTCTACCTCGTTCCATCCAAAGGAATTGTTTGCACTCCTTTTTCTCGTGCTTTTAATACTTTATTCTCCCAGCCGATTATCTCTCCTTGTTTACGTACCCGGAAATTTTTTGAGCGTCGGTTTCTCCATTTATTTTGACTTCGTATCTGGGTTCAGTCGGATCTGTGAGTGTCGCTTTGTCACGGCGTGAATTTCGTACTTCAATTCCATCTTTGGCGAATATGGCCATTTCCATTAGGGCCGCCCACTTCGACCATTCTAATGGTGAACCTGCAGATGCTCGCGGTCAAAATGGATCGATATTTAGCGGGTTCTTGGTATAGTTTGATGGATGTACCATGTCAAACCTTACGGTATGCGTAGATCTTCAATATCGAATGCGAACGAAATTGACAAATACAATGACGCAGGTTATGGGTAAATTGACAACTGTATGATAAACAAATTATTTTTTGCTCTGCCTATCACTCGGTTTGGCTATAAAGATGGCCTTGAAAACCCACAAGGTCATGTCACCAGTATAAAAACAATTTATGTATATATAATACAATAAACCTTATGGTTTCGCCATTCAGGAGGGATGACACTATCAAAAGAATGAAAAAAAAACCGGCATGAAATGTAGAAAGCGAGGATTTGGCGATGGGATGAGCAAAAGAGAACTGATTATATAAAGAATGTTCAGAGGGCCATGGTTTCTAATAGTGTTTATTATATAGGTATTTGTTGGTGATAGTATTTTATGACAGCAAAACCAGGTTAAAAGCAATAAGAGTCGGAGATGAATATTTTAAAAGGGTAATTTGTCAGAGAACAATAACAGAAAAAAATCGGTCTAACCCCTTTTTTACCACTATTTTGAGACCAATTCGGGGGCAACAAAAGACAACCCGATTATAAATGGCAATAATTGGAAGGAAAATGGTAATAAGTTATGGGTCATTAAATTTTCAATAAAATAGTGATAAAATGGAAAACTCAATAGGTTGAAGCCCCACAAAATCACTCGATTATAAAACCTTTTCAAAGTTTTGTGCCTTTTTTCTCGTGGTTACCCCCTTAATCGACTATTTTAATAATATTTTATAGTAATAAATGTTTTTGTTTCATTCAGAAAATTCCCGCTATCCCCAATCTCCTATTTGTTATTTTAAATCTTACCAATAGAGGGTTTCTTAATTAAAGCTTTTTCTATTTTTTTTTTGGAAAAGCTAATGATTGTCATTAACACTAAATTTGTTAGTGTGCGGCCTTACTAACGTTGAAAAGGCAACATTTTTTGTCAGAAAACAGCAATTTTGGCGACACTTAATTATTTGTTTTTAAATAGTTGATTTATACCATAATTTAACGAGAGCGGGTTTATGGAGAAGAAACAAACGCAACAAAAGCAAAAAAACTCCTCTACCCCACCCTCTTGTTTTTTCAATTGCCCAGCGAAGATTTTAATAGCGACACACAGTCATTCACCAGCCCCTCCTTCCCCGGATTCGACCTCCTCGCCACTTTTGGGTTCTATGACTTTTGGTCGACAAACCCTTTATTTTTTCGAGCTGCTTTTGCCAATATGCTTGTTTTGAACTTCCCTCCCCCTTTGGTACTTTTTAAGACATCAATTTTCGGCTGAACGACCCTAATTTTTTTTCTAGAATATGCTTAATTTGAAGGGAGAAAGCTCCCCTTCCCCCTCGAGGAAATCCTAGGTTCGCTCCTGCTTCTAATGCAAGTTCACGAAAGATTAGAAAAAAAACAGAAATTGAAGTCTATCTTTTTGGAACAAACTGAGCGCATATTGGTTTCAGGCAAAGAACTTACGAAGACAAAGTGTGCTATCACGACTACGAATGTCGCAACTTCACCGCCGAGGCAGAGTTGGAAAAACTGAGGAACATCTACGTGAACATGACTAGCGATGTGAACTCGACACTAATCGCTGAGCTGAAGATCTACGAATGTTGTGATGCAAATGCGACTTACGCAACTGGCGACTACTCTTCAGGCTATGACGACGAAGATTATGAGGATGACGTAAGATTTGAAACACTCCTGAGATACTTTTTAAAAGCTTTTGAGTAACTTTTGCAAAAGATTTTGAGTAATTTTCCTCAATTTTCAACGTGAACTATAAATAAACTTCTGAAGGCGCCTTCGACGCCAATATAACTACATTTGAGGGGGAAGCGCGCGCCAAAAAACGCATTTTCTTAATCAAATAGTTTTTGAAAATGCTAAAAACGCCATTCTTAGCTTGTTTTTCAAAAAAAAATAATGCATGCCGCTCAAAAAATTGTTGATAGAATAATTGTTTCGGAGAGTTCGAAGAAACAAATTGGTCGACCTAAAAAAAGTTTTCAAACTTATTTCGAAAAACCGGTTTTCCATAAAAAATTTCTGCGCACGCCAATGGCAGAGTTGAAACTATGTGAAAAAACACCAAGCATATCTGGCATGAATCTATATGTCATACCTTATGGTATGCGTAGATCTTCAATACCAAATCCGAGCGGAATTGGCAAATACGACGACTGAGGTTACGTGTAAAAAAGACAACTGTTTGATAAAACCATTTATTTCTTGCTCTGCCGATCACTCGGTGTGGCTATGGAGGTAGTTTTCAAAAGATACAAGGCCATTCGATCAGTATAGATCACTATATGTATATTCAAATATAACCACTGTTATGGTTTTGCCATTCCGGCCGGATAACACTCCCCCTGGAAGTCAAAAATAAACTTGAGTTTTTGAGTCCAAGTAGACTTAAGTTGAATTGCGAGTTTACTGAGTCCCTTCATATTTTATTGATTTATTGAGTCCCGAGTTTATTTCGTCTTTCGTTGTCTTCTTGTTTTTTGATCGATACCAAGAAAAACCTCTCTAATATCTGATATCATTCTGCTTGAACTGAAAGTCGGGGACACCAAATCCAATATTTCCATGCTTTTGTTTTTAGGTTTGGGTTTTATTGTTTTTGAAAATTTCACACATGCTTGATATTCTGGCAATTTTTCATGGAAACCCATCTCGTGGGTTAAACTTTTTATTTTCGAGTTGTTCCCCTCCCTTTATTTGTTGGTCGGTGACTCGATAGAAAATTGTTTCTTTTTGGGTTCCGTTGGCATTTGCTTAGCTTCGTTAATTGCACTTATTGGTACTGGAGTTCCCAACGCTCCCGCCAACGCCGATTGTCGGTTCTTAGTAGATTTCTTGGTTACTTCTGCCGATATTCGTGGTAATTGGGGATGCGTCTTCTTTTGATTCAGTCTGCTCGGAGATGGGGCCGTGTTCTCGAATGTAGAGGACCAAGCCTCACTTGATGACGTTTGTTGCTCTGGCGTCTCAATGTCCCTGTTTGTTGGGGTGCTGATCTCTTTTTGTAGTTCTGATCGAATTGCATTACTCTTGTTGGGTTTATCTGCGCTAGATTTCCTCCTGACTTCTGTCCTGTTTGCTTCGCGTTTTTTTTTCTTTGGCTATCTTGTGACTGTTACTGTTTATCTTTTCTTGACATCTTCCTTTTTTTGAACATGGGATGTTGTGGCGCGTTTGGTTTTTCAATGTCCAAAACAATTGTAAACCTAGTCCTGTTCTCTGCGCGGATCTACATGCAACGTACTTGCTTAGTCGTGAGGGTATGCAAGATCCATAAATCAACAGATTGGGGACAAATGCGAATCCGCCATTTCTTGGTATTTTCGGTGGCTTACCCAATGTCTGCACCCAAGCTGTGTGTGTGGTGTGTAAATTAAGATTTTCCCGTTCGTAGTTTTTGTATTTTTGTTCGATGTTTCTGGGTCTTTTTTTTGTAGCTACTCTTATTTTTCTCGTTGCCACTTCATCTGTCCGTTTTTTGGTGTTTGCATCTACCTGGTGTTGTATCAACTTGTATCTTAGATATAACTTTTCTCGCTCTTTAAATAATGTCTGCCTAGTTTTCACACGTGTTTCCTGTTGGGCTGCTTGTGCTGGTTTTATAGTTTCCTTGTTCAAAGGTTCTGGTAGGAGGTCTGATGGCCGCCGTTTTTAACCACTTTGTCTTCAGACGTGTTTTGCATCGTCCCAGTTTAGGTTATTTGCTGAGCTTGTTGTTATACTTGATTATAGTGTGCTTGGTTTTGTCCTATGTGTGCTTCGAATGGCGAGATTTTCAGCCACTGGAGTGATTCAAAATGTTTTGATTATTTCAGCTTTGTCTGATGCTATTTTATAAGGTAAGTTATTTTTGTCTATTCTCATAACTCTTAGCTTGCGTTTTAATGCTTGTATCATTCGTCTGACCACACCTATCAAGTTGTGATTGTTTGCAGATGCAAATAATTATTTGATGTTGCTTGATCCACAAAAAAAAACAGAACTTTTGACTCTGATTGCATCTGAATTTTGCGAGACGCCATTGATTGATTTATATCTTTGCATAAATCTTGTGGCTGCTCTGGTGTTAAATACCACTTTAGCTGTCGGAAATTCGACCAGTAATCTATGTCTACGAGTATATACGCTTCGCGGTTTAGTTCGTTGGGTAGAAGTCCTGCGAAATCTAGTTGAACCTCTTCATTCGGCTCGACTGTTGATTCGATTTGGAGTGAATGAATTTTCCCTAAAAATGGTCTTAAATTTTCACCTCGTTCAGTACATTGTCGGCAGTTTCGTGACATCTGGACAATTGATCTGTGTATGTGCGTAAACCAAATGGGTTCGCAGAGGTCGAGCATAGCGGCGGATCTTGGGTCCATGAGATGGATGCTTTCCAATAATGTCTGTCTTAGTTGAATTGAGAAGGAATGGTGTCACAATGCTGCTCGTGATCATTTTGTGGCTTGCCTCTAGTTTTTGTTGTGTACTACCTGTCATTGATGGTGCAGTTTCGTTTGGCTTGTCGGTTGATCCTAAAACCATTTTTGGATTTTGACTCTTCCTGTTGCATTTCCTCAGATAAGATTGAAATTGCAGTGTTCTCTGGATTTTGGATCCAGCGGAATTTGCGAGTAATCATATCGTAATCGATATTTGAGAAAACATTTTGACTTTTTTCCTTTGATTTTACTATCTGCGCTGTATTGTCCAGAAACAGTTCTGTATTGGGCAATTGATATTTGTTTTTGTGTATGATATTGTTAAATTTCTGGAAATCCAATGCCAATTTGGCAATTTGATCCTATTTATGGTTATTATTATGGGACTAATTAATTGGTTGTCTGTGCACTTGTTTAATTCAGTGATCTGCTTTTGTTTGATCAATTTTTACAGCTCTTTCTCGGCTCTTTCTTTCAAATGTATCGGACTTCTTCTTCCTTTTTCTTGGATCGGGACAACATTTTCGATCAATTGGGTTTTTATCAGATAGTTTTCGACTTTACCACTTCTCAAACACAATTGTTTGCAATTGTTTTTTATTCACTGTTTGATCTCTGGGTCTGAAATTTTGTTCTCATAAAGGCTGCCTATCTGCTCCTTTTTTGGTTTTACTTGTACCAGTTTAATGTCCTCCGATGATTTTCTCCTTTTGATCGTCTACGATGATGAACGGTGCTAATTGAACTGTTCATCATCCGAGTTCTAGTGCAATAATAATTCGTCCTTTCGGAAACATAAATTTTCCAAAATAAAATGCGAAAACTCGAGCAGCGTCCTCCGATGGGATGTAGTTGAAAGTCGTCGATTCATCGTTTGTCCTCAATTGTTGTGCAGACTTTTTCCTTGGAACATATCAGACTGCCGGAATTTGGCATTCATGTTCTCAGATGTCGTTTTCATTTTACTATGTGCTCGTTTAAGTCTTTTTTGGTTATTTTTGGTGTGTCTCTGACTTTAAACGCTTCTGCTATGGCCATAACTGTGATGTTGTCTAGTGGGATATCTTCCCATCCGTTTGTTGACATGATTTCAGCGAACGCCACTGGGTTACCTCTTCTACCTTTGTGATGTCTTCTTAGTTTTGTAGTTGTCATTCATTTCCTCCCACTCGCATGAAGTTAACTTTTGTAGATTAGCAAACTTTTGCAAAATCTCCCCTCTTTGCACTTCTAGAACAGATCTTATCTTTCGCGGCGCATGATTATAAAGGGTTCCGACCGAATTGTCTTCAGCATTTGTAATATTTCTTGTATTGTCCCACGTGATTTGTATTCTGTTCTCTTCTATTTTTCAATTTTCCTCGTGTGAAGTTCTATCGTCCTCATGAGGTCGGCCCCTTTGGTTAGTTTGTTAGTTTGCCTGTTTTTCCTTTCTCGAGGTTGTGTGTATCCCATAAATTCTAATTTTGTTGGTGTAGAAGTTGATGGACCGAAAAGATTTTTTTTGTTGCTCTACCGTGTTTGGTTCCCTTTTCTCGACAAGTTGCATATTCGTACGCATCTTGTGCAGATCGATATCTGCTAATAGTTCTTTGGCTGTCTTTTTGTGGTTTATTTAGGCGGTAAACCTATCTTGTACGCATTCCTCTTCTGAATTTCCGCAGTCGGCCCTTTACGCCAATTTCACTAAATCTGTATGAAATTGTTGAAGTGGTTCATTTTTTCCCTGTTTTCGACAAATTAAGGCGTTCAAATGCAATTTTTTGTTCTGTTATGAAAAAGCTTCCACTATTGTTACTATTTGTCTCGTTTTCGTAGATTGTAGGGCCACGCCCGGTCTTTTTTCACTCTAGTTGTCTCTGGCCTTCAGCACCCAAACATAAGAATATGTAACTTTTGACTTTTGCCTCTACCTCGTTCCATCCAAAGGAATTGTTTGCACTCCTTTTTCTCGTGCTTTTAATACTTTATTCTCCCAGCCGATTATCTCTCCTTGTTTACGTACCCGGAAGTTTTTTGAGCGTCGGTTTCTCCATTTATTTTGACTTCGTATCTGGGTTCAGTCGGATCTGTGAGTGTCGCTTTGTCACGGCGTGAATTTCGTACTTCAATTCCATCTTTGGCGAATATGGCCATTTCCATTAGGGCCGCCCACTTCGACCATTCTAATGGTGAACCTGCAGATGCTCGCGGTCAAAATGGATCGATATTTAGCGGGTTCTTGGTATAGTTTGATGGATGTACCATGTCAAACCTTACGGTATGCGTAGATCTTCAATATCGAATGCGAACGAAATTGACAAATACAATGACGCAGGTTATGGGTAAATTGACAACTGTATGATAAACAAATTATTTTTTGCTCTGCCGATCACTCGGTTTGAAAACCCACAAGGTCATGCCACCAGTATAAAAACAATTTATGTATATATAATACAATAAACCTTATGGTTTCGCCATTCAGGAGGGATGACACTATCAAAAGAATGAAAAAAACCGGCATGAAATGTAGAAAGCGAGGATTTGGCGATGGGATGAGCAAAAGAGAACTGATTATATAAAGAATGTTCAGAGGGCCATGGTTTTGAGCAGAAAAGAGTGAACAAAAAATTTTTTATCAGTAAAAAAATAAAAAACCGTTAAAGACTTGTTTCAACCGACCAAAGAGAAAACTTTATTAGATTGTTGTCAGAATAGCTTCCAAAAAAATTCTGTTTCTTATATCATCAGTTAGTAAATTATAAATGGACAGCTACTGCTGTAGAAACTTTAATGGGATTGAAAGTATTCGAAAAAAAAACAATTTCATTTGTTTACTATTACTTTTCTTTTCAACTATTCTTGCAGGAACAAAACTTTCATATTTGTATAACAACCCTGTTGTGTTCTGCAGGTGATGACCCCTGGACGATGTTGTGTGAAGGAACCGATGCCAGTGTGGTTGGCCATTTTGATCCTGGTCATTCTGGCACTCATTCTGGCAGGCTGCTGCTTCCTCTGCTGTTTCATTCGACCCAAACTGGAGGGACTCTGCAACCAGGTAACAATCTCTTGGGGGGGGGGGGTTTCATGCTTGAAGGACCGAATGCTTGAAAAGTTTCAACCAATCAAAATCGCTAAGCGTTTCTATTGGCCAAATGCCTTTCTCACAAAATCGAAGTCAATATTAACAGAAAATGTTTTAAATCAGTGGAAAATAATCAAGAATAATACAAATTGCGGGTTACAACCGCAATACTATTCAGATAAAAATCAAGATTTATGAGTTCAAGTTCATAAGAAATTTTCAGTCTTGAAAATTCATCTGCTTATTATTTAGTCGGTCAGTATTAACACTAATGGCATGGATTTATTTTCTTACTTTGAGATTTTCACGAGGGGGGTAGTTAAAAAACTAGTAAGCAAGATCCCTGCCGGAAAATAAACCAACCAAAAACACTAAAAAACACAGAGGAATATGATAAACGCATGTAGCTACAAAAACATGCAAATTTTAACCCAAATGCCGATTAGTCGTTGCCGATTAGAACACTCTGCTCTGGGACTTTCAGGCGGACCTTCGAAAATGTATCTCCGAACTTTTCTCTGGTTTGCAAAAAATTTAAGAACTCTTTTAAAAAACTGCCAGGACCTATTTTTCTTAAACATTTTGCGGATCAGGTTTTTTAACAAAAAGTAGGAAATTGGCGAAATTGGACACATTTGGAATAGTTTCGACCATGGAGTTTTTTTGGCGCGCATTCGCCACTCAAAATATTATATGATGGCGGCGAAAATTTCAAAGGTGGGGGTCAACAAAGTAAAGGCATAAACGCAATACAAATTGTTTGACTGGCTGGAAAAGTTTGAGTGATAAAAACTCTAAAAACTCTGAAGTTGTGGTAACCAATCGACCCCCCCCCCCTCCCTAAATTTCAAAATGCCTTTTGCTGCGAACTGTATTTTTGTTTTGAGTTGGTCTAATGTCGCTTCTCAGGCTTCAAAATGGTAAATAATTATGTGAACAAAAGAATGCATTTTATTGATTATAAATCTGAAGACAAATTATTTTCTATTATCTATTAATATTACATTTGATTAGTATCAGCGACCTCTCATCTCACACGACACCATACAGACTGTGGCTGCCCTGAAGATACTCACCAGTGACATTGGAGGCGGGGGAGGGGGACAGAACAGCAACCCCTTTGGAGGTACGTGACACAGGCTTTAATTTCCAACAGAGCCCCCCCCCCATTTTCTTTTTATCTCCTTTTCAGTTTCGTGTGAACCATTAAAAAAAGTCTACATGCGCAAAATCTGTCATCGATTCTATATAAATTATTTTTCTGCACATTATTTAGAATGTAATTTTCCTTACTGGCACATCATTTTGAGAACAGTTTCAGCCGAAGAAAAGATTAAACAATTTTTGGCCAACATTAAATGAATTTGGGATTTTTTTTTGCAAACATCGTACAAAGAACTCTTTCAGATGAATAACAATCTTGCGAAGTTCCAACAAGATTTTTCAAGATAGCTAAGTTGAGATGCAAACGCCGTACTTTGTAAGATCTTGCGAGAATTTTTAGAGAATTTTTAGGGATACAGATCTGCGGGTTAGAACATGGCGTACAGAACAAACATTCCCACGTTTTCTCGTCTTCGAAACTATCAAAAAAAATTGTTTGTATTATGCCTCGAATAAATTACACCTCATGCAAATTAAATGACCTTGTTTGTTGTTTTAGGTCAACCGAATTGGGGTCCGGGCCAAACAATCCCACCTCCCCCTCCCCCGATGACTCAATCAGTCCATCCTAATCAGCCCCCACCCCCACCTGGATATGCTCCCAACCACTACAACCCAAACATGGCAGCCCATCCCCCTCTTCAACAAGGGTACCAATACACACCAGGGTACACACCCACCAACCAATCAGCAGCACCTGGACAGTATCCAGGGGCCTACAATAACTACCCCCCGAATCCAAATCCTTACCCGCCATCAGGGGGTCAGTCTTATAACCAACCTCATCAAAATTCGCAGCAGCAATCGCTTCCGTACCCAGTTTCAGATTCTGGGGGTTATCAGCAGTACCCTAGCATGCCAGAAGCGCCACCGTATCCGGAAAGCAAAACAACCTCTCTGGCTTAGATGAGAACTGCAAGAAATTAATGTTCTGCATGTGAATGTCAATTAGAATTTTTATAATGCATTTTTCATAAATTACCTTTAATTCACAATTGATAAAATCAGAGATATTTATGTAATTTTCGATAAAATTACACAAAATTAGTTTTAACTTGACAGGGATATTTATAGTTCGAGCGCGTTTGATAAAAGTGCCAAAAGAGTAGTTTTAACTGTATTATGATGTTCTTGTAGAACGTTTAACTTGCTTTTTTTCATAAGCCAGGTAGAAAGCCAGATCTTTGGTCATTGTTGAAATTATTTGAACACTTGCACAGTAAATGAAAAAGATAGATAAGAGCACGCAGCTCTTGATATCAGTGGTTATAAAAAACTTTACAAGCGCATTTAAAAAAGGGGTAATCATAAAAGTACACATAACTAGTTTTAACTCGACAGAGATAATTATAGTTCGAGCGCATTTGATAAAAGTGCCAAAAGAGTAGTTTTAACTGTATTATGATGTTCTTGTAGAACGTTTAACTTGCTTTTTTTCATAAGCCAGGTAGAAAGCCAGATCTTTGGTCATTATTGAAAATATTTGAACACTTGCACAGTAAATGAAAAAGATAGATAAGAGCACAGCTCTTAATATCGATGGTTATACATAAACTTTACAAGCGCATTTAAAAAGGGGTAACCAAATTTTTTTAATAAACAACACGCAAATGGCATCTTTCAAAACATCGACTGGTGATGTTAGTTTCCAACTTCAAAATACTGAATCTAACCCGAACATCAATGCAGATGGGCAGATTTCCGGTAACAAACGAGAAGACAGCGTTTATGAGGAGTCGGCGAACATTGAACAAGATGAGCAGATTTCCGGTAGCAAATATGTTTACGAGGAGCCGGCGATTACTCAGCGCAACGGCGGACGAAAGCAAGACAAAGAGCTACAACCGAATAATTGGCCTGTGAAATGTTTCATGGCTATGATGATCGTATTGGTGATTGCCGTTGTTGTTTTGGCAGTAAGTAAAGTTTCAAACTATGGAATTATAGCGGGAATTAATCAAGTTGTTTGAAATTTCGAGCGACCTTTTTCAAAGATTCATGACAACAAATTAGACCATTATTGAACAGTGTTCATCAAAAACACCTTGATCATTTTTATTGAAGGGCTCATATGCAATTTGGAGCAATAAGATAACATCCCGTTATCCTAGAGCGTTGGTTTTTTTTTTTGGGGGGGGGGTTCAACTCGATTCGAGTTTTTATAATTAGATACGACATCGTGACAGCGGTCCACTCCACTACGTTTTCGTGTGCAAAGAACTTCCCGTAATTTTTTGCACTTCAATTGATAAAGAAGTTGCGCTGAGGTGTTTTAATTGTAATCAAATGACACTATCTAAGAGTACATTAGGAGTGGCTAAACCGGTACTAATTGAAAAAAGAAGAAAAAGTTAAATGCATAATTAAAGTGTTTAAAACAATTAAAACCTTGTAGCTACCAGTTGAGCAGCATTTTGGTCCATTTTTTTAGTACGCTTTTGGCATCAAAATACCCTAGTTTTAACAAAAAGTTCAATTTTTTGGCCTGTTTTTCTAAGATTTGCCTGCGCAGCAGAAAATTTGGTCAAATAGGGACTTTATAAGTCATTGGTGAGAGATGAGAAAATTAATTTGATCTACTTTAAAAAAACTGTCGACAAATTTTTTGAATTTTTTTTTTCGAAATCCCCCCCCCCTCGAGAAAATTCTAGATCCGTCGCCCCTGTTAGAGTACACAGGACTATACTTTCAAACCGGAGATGTCAGATGAGAGATTTTTAACGCATCATAAAGCTACGACTTTTTTGTATACTTAAAAACGTTTTGATCTAATATGAAATGGTAGAGCGGTGAAATGCTCTTAGCTTAGACTTCACTTGAACTTGTTTGTTTCTATTGTCAGATAAGAAATAGATTTTTTTGTTCGGAAACAGTAGTTATAGCGAAGGTAATGTATATATTTTTCTAAGTAATTCAGAAGTCTTTGCTGGGTACGGGGTTGTTGAATAAACTTCCATTTAAGAAAAAATGCGAGAATTTTTATCAAAAGCTTAAGTTTGCATAAACTAAACTGATTGGAAAACGAAAACAGTTGAGCGCAAGTGGAAGCCACAATTTGTTCTAAAGATATTTTCTGCCAGTGTCAGTGACGCAAAACAACTGTTATTTTTATGAATAATGAAACGAAAATTGATGAACAATAGCGTTTAAAATATACTTTAATTGGTAGAACTTGAACCCAGTGGCTTGCCAAAAAAGTTTTCTAGGGGGGTGTTTCCAAAAAAAAGCAAATTTCACGGACGTATTTTTAGGTCGTCCAATTACATTTTCGGAGCTCTTCTAAAGTATTATAAGGACCCTACTTTGTGAAAAATGTTCTGCGCCGCATGCAAGTTTTTTAAAAAAAAACAGGCCAAAAAAGCGTGAAAGAAACAAAACTTGTAAGGCAATTTGATGGAGGATAGTTCATCTTAGTGTTACATTTTCTTGAACAGCATAGGAAGCCCAATTCCAATAATTTTCTTTTCGTAATTTATTGCTTGTATTGATGTTTTTTTTTTTCAATTTTTTAGACATTGGTTGTCGTTCTATTGTTCCTGACAATTTCTTTATCAAATGAAACAAAAAAGATCAAGGCACAACACACTGACGCCAATCGAGTGAACGATGACAACAGCAATCGTTTTACAGAAAACCTCGCTCGACTGGCAGACGGTTTGGCAAACATTTCAATCAAAGTTGAGAGAGTTGAGAGTGATTTGGCCTATCATTCCAACATGGTTGCGGGTGATATCGCTAACATTTCCACCAAAATTGATAGTGTTGCGGGTGATTTAGTAATTATATCCAGCAGAATTGAGAGGGTAGAGGTGAATTTGGAAGAAATAACAGTAAGTTATCTAGAAAACCGTTTTCTATGTATAATTTAGGAAATTTTACCATTGAATTTAAAAAATAAAAAAGGTCAAGAAAGCTTGCCGCCTGGCAATCATAACACACGAAAACAAATGCCAAAAACGGGTAATGAAACCGAAAAAATTATCCTTGAGGCTAATACCTAAAATGCTCATCTTAGAAAAAACGCGCCAACAGTATTGAAAATGCATGTACAAAAAATAGTTTTAGTCCACTAAAATTGACATTTCAGTCTAAATTTTTAATTTTTGGCAATTTTTTTTTGCTGAAATATACATTTTTAAAGGTCCCACCCTAGGTTTTTTTCAAAAATCCAAAATCAATAGATCATACCATGGTTTCAGTTCTAGAAAGTTTGAGTTTTTGCACCATAAACTTAAATTTCTGCAACCAAAGTTTGAATTTTGATGTTATAAAAAAGTTCAGTAAATTGATTTCTTTAACACATATATAACCAACATTTCGCTTTTTTGCGTGTATATATCCAAGCATCTACTCCAAATCTTTAATTTTTCTCGTGACTCATCCTCCTTTTTTCTAAACTTATTCTGTCTCAAACCATCCAAACTTAAACTTAACTTAATTTAATCATTGGTAAAGGTACTGTTTAAGGAAACTAGGGGAGGAAATAACAAAACCTAAGAGGAAGCAACAGAATAGGGAGTGTTCTTTTCTATCATTAGTTTTTTGTGACAATTTTGTTTATACAACATTTGAACCATAAAAAAACGCACTAACACCATGTTTGAACGTCAACCATCTAGCATTAAACAACACGTTTCAGTGAACTAGTACAACCCAAATTAGCATACCGCAAGCCAAAAACCTTGTTCTTACCGGTAATTTTTTGTTAGTTTCAGGTTTCAGAAGAAAAAAAATTACCTTCTGGTCTCAAAATTTAGCTCCAAATGAATAATTTTGACTTTTAAGAGAAAAGTAACGGTGTCAACACACGCCGGAAAAAAATTAAGATTTTGGCTCTTAAGGCTGATATGTATGTTTCAGAATTAGTGTTTTTGATATCAAGCACAAAAACCCTGCTTCCAAGTCAAAACTTGGAGAAGTTTAGGAAGAAAATAGGAATCCTTATTCACTAACCAATTTTTAAACTCACAAAACTTCCAGCGGTTGTTAGTTTGAGCCCTCAATTTTATAGTTTTAGTCCACTAAAATTGACATTTCAGTCTAAATTTTTAATTTCCGGCAATTGTATTGCTGAAATATACATTATTAAAGGTCCCAGCCTTGGTTTTTTTCAAAAATCTAAAACCAATAGATAATACTATAATTTCAATTCTAGAAAGGTTGAGTTTTTGCACCAAAAATTCGAATTTCTGCAATCAAAGTTAGAATTTTGATGTTATAAAATAGTTCAGTAGTCTTAATTACACTAGACCAGCTATCAAAACCAACTTTTTGTTTTATTCCAGAGTTTGGGAGAGTTCAAGTTTTTTTGGTTTCAGATTTCGAAAACTTATTTTTTGATATCCATATTTAGTTTTTCTCAAAATTTTTGCATTAAAAAGGATTTAAAAAAATAGATTAAAGCCTTTGGGCACATTTAAACAAAAAACCTAACCACTACAGCTATAGTTTCAGGTTTCAGATTATAATTTCAGTCCCAAAAAACAATTCTTTGACAAAAAAACTAAAACTTTGAGCCATTAGTAATCTCAAAAAGCATATAACTATGTGTTTAATTATAAAAAGCATAAACTAGGTTTTAGCTAACCGTTTCAGGACACAAAAAGAAAAAATTCGGAAAAAAACTCAAAATTTTTTCGAATTATTTTTTTTGCGACTCATTTTTGATAAACTTCGACAATAACTAACTTTAACAAACTTTCAGTACCCAATTATACACTAATCAAAAATTTATTTTGGCACAGGAAAAAAATCACCTTCGAACTTTACTGTCAACACATTTTAAAATTGAAGTCGGATCAATATTTAAAAAAAAAAGAAAATAGGAAGCAAAATCTCCAACAATATCCAATGGTATATCACTAATACTGAGAAGGATCATTTAAGTATTTTACTAAAACATCCTAAAAACGATAAACAAATATTTGGATTTTCTTTTTAGACGATACACACCAGAATTTGACACAATTCTTCAGCAAATGAAAAGACCAAACAAAATTATTTATGTGCCACAAGAACATTGAATTGCTTCACTTCCAATTGCATTTTCATATCATCCTAGTTTCCAAACACTGAAAAATAATTTTACTTTTTGATATTAAAGTAGTTTTTTCTACAACAAAATCTGAAATACCCAATAATGCTATTATCAAAATGATATTTATTTGACTCACTGTTGACAAAGATAAGTATCGAAGACATGGAAAAGGAAGACAGTAGTATATGAGTGAGGGAGAGTGGGGGGGGGGTGCCTGCGGACCCCCATTTATTAATATAGGCTATAGAGTATCCGGTCCGCAGGCTATGTATTAAGATAGGTTATAGATTTTCCAATGTATTAGGATAGGGATTAGGTTTCCCAATGTATTAAGATACGAGGTTTCAGATGGTAAGTTTGAGAAAAATTTTTGGCGCCCGATCTTACCATGTTTTAAGATAGTGTTTAGATTTCCCATGTATTAAGATAGTGTATAGATATTCCCTATGTATAAGGATTAGAAATTCCTTGTATTAACACAGGGAATAGATTTCCCAATGTATTAAGATAGGAAATGGTAAGGTTTCAGTGTGATGGTAAGAAAATAGTAAGAAAAACGGTCTTTTTTGGATTTTGTGTGGAAATGTCTAGTTTTTTTGCAAAAATCCAGGCATGCGTTATGTAATTCTTGAGTGTTACATGTAGAATGTGCAATGAAGAGAATATGTTTATTGGTTCATGGTAAGTCCATGGTAAGATGTGCAAAAATTTGGAAATGCTTATAAAAAACACGATATGACTTGATATAATTTGACTTAATAACTATTTTATTAGATGATCCTTTTTTTGAAACTGTACTCAATCTAGCTTAAACTATGCTGAAACCTACTGAAACCTTAAAAAAATTTCAAATTTTTGGAAAAAATTGCAAAAATTTCAAGTTTTTGGAGAAAACTGCCAAAATTTCAAAGTTTTTGGAAAAATTTCAAGTTCTGAAAAAATTGCAAAAATTTCAAAGTTTTTGGAACAAACTGCAAATTTTTGAAAAGAACTGCAAAAATATCAAGATTTTGGCTAGTTTTTTGTTGCTTCTGATTTAATTGAAAAAAAAGTGAATACGTTTAGAGTTTAAAATTAAGCTCAAATTGTATTTCAATTGGCATCATGTCGAGACACTGATACAAAAACTTTGATTAGACAAATGGAATTTTCCAAATTTTTTCTCACAAAAAATTGAAATACGATAAATTTAAGCATTATTTGAGTAACAAAGCGGGTCATATAATGCTCTCAAGATTAACAAGAAAGCTCATAAAAGCTGAATCGAAATTGAAACTTGTGAAGATAGTGAAAATAACCGTAATTTTTAAGAAAGTAAAATAAAAATTATTCAAATTTATCAAAATTTTCCATTTACAACGTTTTAATTGGATATTTAACTAATTTTTTGTCCAATTCAGGGAGAATTGAAATAGGACTCTCAAAACAAATGAACATTAAGAGCAATCTTCCATGAAATTTCTAGATTTTTGATCAATGATTAACCCAAATTTGTGCAAAAATTACAAATTCAGAGAAGTTATTCACTCTAATAGTACAGAATTTCAGATCAATGATGAAAAATGAACAGTTAATAGCTAGAATTGACTAAAAACGAGATAAATTTTTCTTAAAAATTTATTCGATATTTGCTCAGATTCAACAAAAGCTTCTTCATAAGTGATGATTATCTCTCTGTTGCTTCTGCAACATAATTTCACAATTTTCCGTAGAAATGTTCTATTCTTAAAGGTTAATCTTACTTTCGGCTTAATACATGATTCCGCTATTTAACACACTTTGCAATAAAATTTAGTCAGAACTGGAGAATTTAGGGGGAAGTTAGTATCAATCGAACGAACAATTTGCTAGCAGAGATGAAATTAGAACTAATACCGTCTGATTATTTTGATAAAAATTGTAAATTTCTGCCTCAAGTTTCCCTTGTTAGGTGCTACAGTAAACTATTTAAGCAAAAATACAACTTTTGGGATAAATATCAATCACTTTTCTGGAAAAATAGTCAATTTTTCATGATTTTTTGTTGAAATGCTCCATGCTTTAAGGTTATTCCTGCTTTCTGCTTAATGCATGTTTTCGCTATTGAACACACTTTGCAAGAAAATTTAGTCTGAACTGGAGAATTTAGGAGGAAAATAATATCAATTGAACGAACAATTTGCTGGCAAAGATGAAATTAGAACTGATACCGTCTGATTATTATGATAAAAATTGTAAATGTCTTCCTCGAGTTTCCCTTTTTAGGTGATACAGTAAACTATTTAAGCAAAAATACAACTTATGAGATCAATATTTATCATTTTTCTGGAAAAAAAGTCAATTTTTTATGATTTTCTCTAGAAATGCTCTATGTTTTAAGGTTTTCCTTGCTTTCTGCTTAATGCATGTTTTCGCTATTGAACACACTTTGCAAGAAAAGTTAGTCAGAACTGGAGAATTTAGGGGAAAAATAGTATCAATTGAACAAACAATTTGCTGGCAAAGATGAAATTAGAACTGATACCGTCTGATTATTATGATAAAAATTGTAAATGTCTTCCTCAAGTTTCCCTTTTTAGGTGCTACAGTAAACTATTTAAGCAAAAACACAACTTATGAGATCAATATTTATCATTTTTCAGGAAAAAAAGTCAATTTTTTATGATTTTCTCTAGAAATGCTCTATGTTTTAAGGTTTTCCTTGCTTTCTGCTTAATGCATGTTTTCGCTATTGAACACATTTTGCAAGAAAAGTTAGTCAGAACTGGAGAATTTAGGGGAAAAATAGTATCAATTGAACGAACAATTTACTGG